TCCCAGGACCTCACTGAAGGAGCGGCATACCGAATGGCCTTTCTCTCCACAAGGAACTTTAGCAGATACCTGATATCCGTTAAGATAGTCCCTAGTCATTATTTCAGTGCAGGAACGGACCTGGGCATGAGCTATGGCACCCCCCCAAATGTAACCAGCTAAAACGGCCTCCACATCCGAAAAATAAAATTGTGTAAGTAGGAAATCTTTGCCTTTTGCTATGAACCTTGGGAAACTCTGGTTTTCCCTACAAATGGGGCCTGAAGTGGCCTCCCACCTCACTTCTCTTACCCTCTCTAAGAGAATCGACCTTGATTCTATTTGTGTCTCTCGTTGATCACCCCCCCCCCCCACCCACCATCACTTCCCCAGAGGGCTCTGGGTCTGTTTATTTATTTCTTTATTTCCCCCAGGGTTCAGGCATCCTGGACTTGTGTCTTACAGCCAGATCTCGATAGACGAAGATGGAGAGAACTCAGCCTCCCGCCACTGCCCCCCAGTCAAGCGTGACAAGGCGCGGGCTGGTTGCGTGACTTGTGACGTCTCCAAGCCCTATAGGAGCAGCGGCTGGTGAGATAGTCGCTATCGCCCCGGTTGCCTCTTTATTTTATTGGGGTGTGCCTGGCAATAAACAGTAATATTTAATTTGTCGGAGACCACAAACCAACGACAAGCTGGGAGGTACTTGCTTCTCTTGACGGGACCCTGGAAGAAGTCTTCGCTTTAAAAGGGGGTCTTTTTTGCGGGGGGGAATGTCCTTTCGAAACTCCCCGTGAACTGCTTTACCTCAGTGAGCATTTCTTGGCTTCTGGGCTGAAAGAAGAAGTGAGATTAAGGGAGGTGAGTTTTGCTGGGGAGAATTGTGGGGGCGGGTGTGGATATTTACAGGCCAGCCTTTATTTTCCCTGGAACCCCTAGCTTCCCACCCTACCTAGCCTTGGCTGAACCCCCACTTAACTGCTATCCAAAGCCATCTACACCCTTGCGTTTTATCTCCGATCACTTGCAAGAATGGATCTCTCCCGCCAGGTTTTAAGAAAAATACTCAGAACAACACTGTGTGGTGGCTGGCTCCCGTGCACCATCTAAGCTCAGTCAAGGAAGTGTATCTGGCTGGGTTGTTGCTTGGGGAAGCCCAGATCTTCCCTCTCGGGAAGGGCCCGCTGATTATTTATGGGGATTAATTTTATCCTCAAATCTCTGTGAATGTAAAGGGATTGGAGAGGTCTGTCTGGATTTCCCCTTTCCTTCAACCAGAGACGCAGACTCCCATCCCGAAGTCAGGTTGGCTTTCTGTCCCCCGCCCGCCCGCCCGAGGTTGAGGTTGCCTCCGTTCTAACCCAAAGGCCTCCTTGCAGACTTTTTGGAGAGCGAAGGTGTTTGCACAAATAAATAGCTGGCCTTGGCCAAGGTGTGCTTGAAAACAGATCTGGAAGGCAGAGGGTGGGGTTTCTCCCTAGTCGCCCCACATTTAAAACTGAAAAGTCCACTGGAGAAATTTTGCAGGGGCGGCCTGCAATTGTGCAGCCACAGAGGCTATGCCATTGCTGGAGTCCAGTCCAGGGCATTTTCCCCAGTCTCTCTCTCTCTCTCTCTCTCTCTCTCTCTCTCTCTCTCTCTCTCTCTCTCTCTCTCTCTCTCTCTCTCTTTCCAGCCCTTGGCTCTGAGGATGTAGTCTCTAATTAGAGTCCCAGAAAAGAAGCGTACTGAGAGGGTAGAAGGAGGCTGGAGCGGGAATCAGAATGGGCTCATTGGCATTTGTTTCGAGCACCACTCTATGTTGTCCCAGGCTAATTCTGCTTCCACCAAGACCAGTGTCTCTGCTGTGGACTGCTTTCATTCACCCTCTGAACGGGCAGCCTTCAGAGAGGCGAAGGGCAGGCCAAGGAGCACTCAGAGCTGAAACCCCCAGCCAGCCCTCCGTGACTGATTATTTTAATAAAACTGGGCACTGCCCTGTGTACACCCCAGTGTGTGTGTGTGTGTGTGTGTGTGGGAGGGTGCACACACAATGATTTCTTGGCATCTTTGATCATCTTGCCCCCCCCCCCCAGTCTCAAGGCACCTTCTCTCCCAAGTCCTAGAGAGTTTGGGGTGGGGGGCGGATGATGAGTCTGGGGTGGAGGAGGGCTGTCAAGGAAGCTAGTCCTGGCTCTGCATGGGGCCAGGCAGGGTCACACCGCTCTCTGTCTGAGGTCAGCCCTGGAGACAGAAATCGGGCGAGGCCGCAGAGACCCTTGGGTGTGTGCACATGCCTAATGCATCCATTCTTGGTTCTCTGCATGGCCGGGCTATTGAAATTACTAGGCTTCCCCGAGAGAAGCTGGTTAGCTCTGGCCAGACTCCTGTAGCTTGCCTGCCTTCCTTCCTTCCTTCCTTCCTTCCTTCCTTCCTTCCTTCCTTCCTTCCTCCCTCCCTCCCTCCCTCCCTTTCTTCCTTCCTTTCTCTCTGTCTTTCCTCCTTGCAGCTACTGGCTCAGCACTGCCGACAGAGATGATGGAAGGAGCACGGGAAGGGAGTGGGGGTGGGGAATCACGGGGTCTAGAGCTGACAGTACTGTAGTGATTCAAGTGTTTGGGGGGGGTTATCCAGTGAAAAAGTGGAAAAAAAGAGTGGAGAGAGGTAAGAGGGAAGGAGGGAGGAAGGGAGGGAAGGAGGGAAGGAGGGAGGGAGGGAGGGAGGGAGGGAGGAGAGAGAGAGAGAGAGAGAGAGAGAGAGAGAGAGAAGCAATTTCTATACTTTGTAAGCATCCCGGCATCCCAGCTGAGTTAGATTGTCTAGGAGAGAGAGAGAGGGAGAGAGAGAGAGGGAGGGAGGGAGGGAGAGAGAGAGAGAGAGAGAGAGAGAGAGAGAGAGAGAGAGAGAGAGAGAGAGAGAGGCTCTCATACCTCAAATTCTGGAACTTTAACCCCGAAATCGTCTCACTGAGAGCAGCTGGCCGATTCCCAAGACTCTCTCAGGTCCCCCCAACTCCCCAACTTTTCTTCTCTGGGGGTGCAAGCACAGAGCAGGGCACTGTGATTGCATGGTATGGGTTTTGGGGTACTCCGGGACCTGCTGCTTAGTTTCGTGTTCTGAGCCCTTCTGGAGCTTGACAACTTAGAAGCATTTAGGGCTAGCGAACAGCCAGCGAGCTGTGGAGGAGGTGTGCGCTGGAGGTGGGCAGTCGCTGGGAGGCTCCAGCAGTGGGTACTTCTTCGTAGCAACAGTAGCAGCCAGCTTGGGCAAGCAAGCAGTCCTTAGCACAAACTCCAGTCACCATGCCTGCACCCCCACCTGGCCTCCGGCTTTCCTGCTAAGAGGAAGAGGGGTGGCGGTGAATGCATCCCGCGCACAGAGCGAGGTAACGGTACAAACAGATGGCCGGGGGGCGGGAGCAGGCTGCAACAGTCGGCGGGGGAAGCGGAGAATGGCGGACTCCAGCCCTGTCTCACGTTCTGCGGAGTCTGGCTTGCAGGGATTTTTTTATCCGGGCCTGGACCTTTCAAGGCGAGAGGGAGCCGGGAGGGTGCCGAGGCTGGGGGAGCCTCTGTGCTGGCAAGGCACACGGCCTGGTTCTGTCAAACCACATCTTTCTTGCTCGCCTCCGCCAGCCTCCCAGCTTCCCGGGATCCCGGCAATGGTTAGGGTGGGTTTCTCCCGATGGCTGGCCGTGAATGGGAGAGCGTGCAGGGCGCAAGCCCTGTTTTCCTTTGTTATGAGAAGACTATGGGGCTCCTATGGCAGTCTCCCCCAACTCCTGAGGCCAGAGGAAGAAAGATGTCAGAGAATTGGGCCTCAGAAGCTTGTCTGTGGCCTCATTTATGTCTCAGGCCGCTACAACCCAGGTTGGGATCCAGTCTTTTTCCCTAAGAAGCTACTAAAATTGTGTGTGTGTGTGTGTGTGTGTGTGTGTGTGTGTGTGTGTGTGTGTGTGTGTGTGCTGGGGGGCATCCCTTTTATGAAGTCTTCTGGTGTTTTGAGGTGGAGGCGGTGGTAGAAATCCTTCCTTGAGGAAGGAGGCTGATCGAAGAACTTGGACGGCTTCTTCTTCCTCCATTGAACTCCCGGGCTGCCCTAATAACAGCCTCTCTGGCAGTCCATTCAATGCTTGCAGTCCAGGATTTATCTGGGGCCGATTTTAGACTATCCAACCGGGAGCCAGGCCTGCAGTTTGAGTGAGCCAGCCCTGATTGAAGCTCAAAGAAGTTCCCTTTAGCCTGGCTACTCCGGGAAACGCCTGCCGGCCCCAGCTAGCTAGCTAGCGATCTGAAAGAGCCGGGAGGAGACAGCCCACCGGCTTGCCGCGGAGAGCCTGCAGCAGAGTCGCAGCCCCTCTCCGATCTACCTCCTGTCTTCAGTGTGGCTACTTTCAAATTTTTAAAACTGGTCTTGTGCTTAAAGTTGGGAGAGGGGAAGACTTAGTTTTAAAGGTTGTTTCATCTTAAGGCCTGTATGAGAAAGCGAGAGGTCCACTATTCTCTTTCCTCCGAGCTTATCTCCCCTGTGTTTTTTATTTTTGCAAGACGCGGGTCATTTTGGGCCTTTTGCCTATTGTGGGAAAATAATGTCTCTTAGGAGGTTTCATTAAAAAAAAAAAAATGCTGGCATGACTTCCCAAATTCGACAAAGACCATTTCTCAAAGGGGCGCTGGGTTTTTGTTTTCTGTTTTGTTTTGGGTTCCTACCCGATGGCTTCCAAAAATACAGGCGCCTTATCTTTATTGGCTCTTCCAGGAGTTCAGACAAATTTGACGGACAGCTCTCTTATCGCCCAGAGCCTGAGCAGGGGAGATGCGGGGGGCCTTGCCGCCGCCTCCTCCCTGTCTGAAGCGGGTATTTCGCAAGCGGCAGTGCGTGGTCGTGGTCGGAAAGTGAAATAATAAAAAGACTTTGCACAGCCTCCTTCAGCCCGGAGTGGAGGGTCAAACTGCTGTCCGCGATGTCTCTAGACACTCTCCAACTCTGTCTCTTGTCCTCAGAATAGAACCTCGCGCGGGCACAGGACCCCGGGGCACACCATGGCGGATGCAGATGAGGGCTTTGGCCTTGCGCACACGCCTCTGGAGCCTGACTCCAAAGACAGGTCCTGCGATTCCAAACCCGAGAGCGCTCTGGGGGCTCCCAGCAAATCTCCATCATCCCCGCAGGCCGCTTTCACCCAGCAGGTAAGAAAAGCCGGCCCCAAAGCTCAGACCAAGGCCTAAGCCCGGCTCCCAGCTAGCGGTTACTCCCCCCTCTTTCCTGGGTAGTCTCATCCGATCTCCCCCAGTCCCCCTCTATTCCAATCCACTTTATCGAGGCGTTTATCTTTATGGCCTGCGTATTTTAGAAACCTATTTACATTATTGGAGAGCTCTCAATTATCCGACTATTTGGGGTCAGCTAACAATGGCCCAGATAATTCTCTCCCAGCTGCCCCGGTATGCCTTATTAAGGGTCGGGTCAGCGGCCGCTTCAGGCCGGCATGAGCGATGGCTTGACCCCCCTTAGATCTTTCTTAGCCTTCGCCTCTGCCTGCCTGCTCTGCGCAGCTCGCCTTGCCCCTCACGCAACGCCATTTATCTTTGCTCCGGGGCCTGGAGGAACGCCCTGACCCGCCGAGGAGAGCACCACGGGCACCCCGAGCCCTGAGCTCCGCCGGGCTGGAAGCTGGTTCCGAGCGGAGGGAGGGGGTCTCACCCTGTGCGCTGCACCCTGAAACGCCCAGCGCTGTGGGTGCTCCAGATGGATTTAAAAACTAGGTGTCACCAGGCACTGAGCAGGGAAGATTTAAACAGGGAGATAGGTTGGATGCAGAAATCCTTCCTGGGGAGTCCCAGGTTCTCTCCTTAGCTTCACGTTTCCAAGAGGTGTGTGTGTGTGTGTGTGTGTGTGTGTGTGTGTGTGTGTGTGTGTGTGTGTTAAATAAAAGCAGAGAGGCTTAAGAATGGTTGTGGGAGATTTACAGATTTTTTTAAAAAGGAAAAACAAGTCTGCTTTTTAGTCAATTAATACTTGTTTCAAAATGAAGATTTGTGTCTGACTGCTTTGGTATCGGTTTTTAAAAATAACTTACAGTTGAAAGGGGAAATGTTAAAAGGCTCCAGGCTGCCCCAAGTCAAAGGTTGGGCAGCGGTATGGTGAGGGCCTGGAAGAATTGGTAATATAGACACTGAGAATTAATTTTTGATTTTGGTCCTTGGCGGGTGCACGCGCGCGCGCGCGCGGGGGGGGGGTCATTTTAAAATTGAAAATTTCCACAGAGTGGCTCACATGTGCTGGAATCCCAGCCCTTGGGAGGGTGAGGCAGGAGGATTGCCAAGAGTTTGATACCAGTACATGTGCTGCATCGTGAATTCCAGGCCTTCCCGGGCTACAGAGTGAGACTTTGTTTCAAGTAATAATAATACTGAATAAGATCGAAAAATTCTTTTATGTTTATAGTCACACCCAGTGATGATTGACAGTAATGTATTTGCATAGCTGTGTGTTTTGCGTCTGGGTGACTATGCAAGAATATCCTAGTGGGGTTTTCTAGATTGACAACCCCCCCCAAACCATATCTCAGATAAAAACGGATCAAAATTAGCTGGCCTGGTCCTCTACGGAGGAGCACAGTGGTGGGAGATGATTCCCAGGCCTCAAGCTGGTGGAGGAGACAACAGGTACCTTGAGCTGAGAGGTTGCTGGAAGCAGGCTCAAGCCTGCCTAGGGAATCCTAGGCAGATGCCTTGGGTTGCCCTAGAGTCCCTATCACTCCGGGCAGAAGTCAGAACCCCCTTTCTTTGAACTCACAGACTTCCGGGGGGTAACAGAGAAGCGGCCTCTGCATACAGGGGGAGTTTGGGAAAAGATTGCCCTCTAAGGCTTCTCACCAAAAAATTTCTCTCTGTCTCTCAGGGCATGGAAGGAATCAAGGTGTTTCTTCATGAAAGAGAATTGTGGCTGAAGTTCCATGAAGTGGGCACAGAGATGATCATCACAAAGGCAGGGAGGTGAGCTGGCTCCTGGCACAGAAGGGCAGCCCTTGAAGGCGAGAAAAGAGGGAGACTAGGCAAGGAGAAAAAAAAAAAAATAGAACGGAGACAGTATTCGATCAGAGTCCATTCTGGCTTACGCGAGTCCTCGGCAGGATGGGGACCTACTCCAAAGGCTTACTTACCTCTGGGTGAGATATTCCTTCCCCGTCTTATAGGAAGATTAAAATCCACAAGGGCCTGAGTGAGTTATCTGAACAGGTAGGTTATCAAGGAGAGAGAGAGAGAGAGAGAGAGAGAGAGAGAGAGAGAGAGAGAGAGAGAGAGAGAGAGAGAGAGAGAGAGAGAGAAGGATTTTGAGTGGTTAGATTTGGACTTGATCCCTTGCCCCAACCCCTATTCCCACCTTCTCTGACCTTGGAATAATTCCAGGGTCCCACCCGCCCGCCGCCGATAGTCAAACCCTGAAACTGTTGAATGTATTCGCTACCACCTCTTCCATTGTTTATAGAGCGCGGGGCGAAGCCTTTGAAACCAAGCGGAGGGCTCCTCGGAGCTCTGTACACAGACACGGATAAACACAGCCGATCGGCCATTGCGCAGGGCCCAGGGCCGGCCCAGAATTGCTCTACAAGACCGGCAGGAGTTTCAGCTAGAAAGGCTTGGCCTGGGGGGAAGGGGATGGGGGGCCGAGAAGTGCAAGCGCTGGGTCTCCTAGTGCCCCCCCCCCCCAACGCGTTTGTGTGTCCCAGCCTGGGGAACCTCCTCTTTGCTCCCCCGCCCGGCTGACGCTACATAGGTCCCCGAGCATCTAAGGGGTCCGGAGTCTGGCTAGAGCCAGCGTGTGAAGAGACAGAGGCCAGGCCAGTAGGCCCAAGCTGCCGGGTGTGTGAAGGCAAAGGGTGGAGTTGATTTTTCCAGATTCCGCGGGTTCTCCAGCCCGAGCCGCCCTCAATAAACTGACAACCGTGACGTTTATTATTTCTTGAAATTAAACAATGTCGACTCCCCCGCTCAGCCCAAGGCCCTGGTGAACTAGAAGGCGGTGGGTCTGTTTATATCAGACATCTGAGGTCCCCTTTCCCATCCTGCCCAGGAAGGAAAGTCCCAGCCGGCTGCCTTTTTCCCCCTCGCTGGAGCCGAGAGGATTTAACTATAAAAGGCTTGCAAAGTCAGTTTCTTGTGCCTTTGCCTGCGGGGCAGGCGCTCTTGCTAAGGCCAGATAAACACGGGGAGGTCCGGGCTCTGGGCCTGCCACCGAGACCGACCGACGAAAGGCCTCCTCACCGCTCTGCTCACACTGCAACAGCCTAGGTCCAACGATTTGTCCTGATGCGCAAATCCAGTCGGATCCCCTGCTTTCTGGGGCGCTGTCCTCACCAAACGTTAAGGAAAAATTTCTAGTGGGGCCGTGGAACGGGGGGGGGGGGGGAGCCCTAACAATCCGAGTTCTGCACCAGTTGTGTGCCATCAGCTTTCTAGTACAGCCTTCGGCTCTCTCTAAAACCGAATCTGGAAGGGTTTGGAATTTCTTTCCTGCGTGCCTGGGAGTTTAAGCTCCCCAGGGAAACCTGCCAAGCTCCGTGGAGAAATTGCAGATCATTTATGAGTAACCGCACGCTGGCGATGCGGGGCCTGGTCACTAATCCAGCGAACTTGGGAACTGCTTTAGCAGTCACAGTTAACCTGCACCTCCAAGGCCGGAGGACTAAAGTTAGTCTCGAAGGCGATGTGTTCCCACTACCTTGGTTGGCGGGCCACGGGACCAGAGTGAGAAGGCCTCTCTAGCTTTGTACTGAGTGAGCGTCCTCCTCGCCCTGTTACCAGGTTCCCCAGAAAGCGAGTCTCTAAACATAGCCGCCTATAAGCAGCGGTCTCCGGGTCCTATTTTCTCCCTAGGTGCCTGCAACGGCTGCAGCTGCCTGCTTTCCCTCTGGTTCTATTCTCCTCCCAGCAACTTCAGGAGAAACCCGGGGTGGATCTCACCGGGGATGGAGTGGGGCCAGTGCTCTTCATGTCTCCGGGAATTGCTAAAAGATCAGGAACGGCTCTTCTGAGTATTGGCATTAACCGCCCCCCTTCTTTCTCTGTGTGTGTTCCTCCGTCCATCTCCCTCTCCCTCTCTCTCGCAGGCGGATGTTTCCTAGTTACAAAGTGAAGGTGACTGGCCTTAATCCCAAAACGAAGTACATTCTTCTCATGGATATTGTTCCCGCGGACGACCACAGATATAAATTTGCAGACAATAAATGGTAGGTTCCAGAGTTCCAGAGGGCAGGAGAGCTGGGAGGGAAGAGCAACGTCTATTCCACTCCCCAGCAACTGAACCAGTAAACGCATTATTACTATTGTTACTATTATTATTATTATTGCTATTATTTTAGCTCCTACTAAGGCTCAAGACTTGTGTGCCTAATCTATTACATAGAAAGGGTCTGCAGCAACTAGCTCCCATTTCACAGCGATGAAAACTGAGGCTGCCAGGAAGTGAGGGGACCCTGTGTAGTACTTCTACACCCACATGGGTTCCACATTTTTATTTTACTTTTTATTTTTATTTTTTTTTTGTAAAAGGCGTATTGTTACCAAGTACTGGGTATATTTCTAGGGGGCACAAAACCATTTACAGTTATTTTTTATGAGTTACCTGCTTTGAACATGACTTTTTTTTTTATGAAATTGCAAAACTGGCCCACGGCTTTACTGGTGAAAGGAGAGAGGAGAGGCCATTCCTGGGCTCCCCTGAACTGCTGGGAGGCTGGAAAAGGATGGCTCCTTTGAAAGCACTTAAAGAGTTTTCAAGAAGCTTGCACGTGCAGATTTTCAGCTTTCCGCCAGTAACTGGTGGGCAGCAGGGGCCTCGAGGCCCCACACACGCCTAGCGCTGGGCTGGGGAAGAGGTTGAAGGTTGGGGAGGAAGAAAAAGAGTCGGACCAGGGGCCTTGGTTGGATACAGTGTGGGGTGCTCTGGGGCAGCGGAGACTGGAAGCATCCTGAAGGAGACCAGCCTGTACCCTGAACAGTCTGTCCCTTCACCGCAGCCCTCTTCGGGGCCAGCTACCTCTGGGCCACAGAGAGCGCTTCAGCTCTTGTCTGTCTCCTTCACCCAGGTCTGTCACAGGCAAAGCTGAACCTGCCATGCCTGGCCGCCTGTATGTGCACCCGGACTCCCCGGCGACTGGAGCACACTGGATGCGACAACTTGTCTCCTTCCAGAAACTGAAGCTCACTAATAACCACCTGGACCCATTCGGGCATGTAAGTACCCTGCCCCCCCGCATCAATGTGTGGGGCAACCCCCCCACCCCCCATCTCCTTACTTCTCTCGGGGACCCTATCCTTTGGCTTCCAAACGTCTGTCTCCCTTTCCTTTTCTTTCTTCCTTCCTCCTTTTCTTTCTTTCTTTCTTTCTTTCTTTCTTTCTTTCTTTCTTTCTTTCTTTCTTTCTTTCTTTCTTTCTTTCTTTCTTTCTTTCTTTTCTTTTGGTTCTGCTTCCCAGATTCCTTAGTTCTCTCTCCAGGATTCCATTTACATAGCCCCAAGCTGTCCCCCAACTAGTTAGGACCCTCCCGAAGGCTGGAAGAGCCCCCACACCCAGCCCCTTTCCTCTGTTTTTCTGTTCTGAAAATTCCCGTCCCACCTTCCTGCCTTCTTTCTCAGCTCCCTTCTTCGTGTAGCGCTCTCAGTTCCACTCTAAGTACCCCCTCCTCCTTTTTCTTATGTCTCCAGCACTCTCCAACTGAGGGGGACACTCTCTCCTCTGCCCCCCCCGTGGTCTATCCTAGGATCTGTCTTTCCTCTTCCTTGGGTGACTGGAGACCAGGTTTCAGGCCACCCTATTTCCAAGCTCTGATTTATAATTGAACTTTCCCAAGGGAATAGAGAGTACAGGGTCTCCTGCAATGGCCCCTCTCTTAAAGGTGGCAAGTGAACCCTGGTACTAGCGCCTCCTTTAAGCTTGGTGCTTTGGGGCATATAGATTTTATTTTCTCCTGCTTTCCAGTTTCCTTTCCCCTATCCATGCTTAGAGGAGACAAACATAGACCAGAATCCTAAGCCCGGAGTCTCTTTAGTTCTCAGAGAGAGGCCTGGTGAATCCCCCAAACTACATGGGGGTATAGTGAGTGTGTATAGTATATATATATATATATCTCGAGTGTGTATAGGGAGTGTGTGTGTATGTGTGTGTGTGTGTGTGTGTGTGTGTGTGTGTGTGTGTGTGTGTGTGTGTATAGTGAGTGCGTACATCTCCTCTCCCTGGTGATTAACTTCTTTCAGTGGGTTCCCAGCCCAGCCTCACCTTTCTTTACCCAAAGAACAACAAAACACCAGCTTTTGGGAGAAATAGTCCAAAAAATCTCTCGATTGCTTTGGCTTTAAATTCTGCATTTAGAGTCTTTTGCTAGATGGTTCGACCTTTGGAAAGATGATACTCAAGGTTGCTTTTGCAAAGGGAAGTCAGGACGGGCAGAGTGTGCCCAAATTCATACAGTTTGTTTGGGGACAGGGGATTCACAGCGGGGAGGGGAGCATGTAGTCTCCAGTTTAGAGAAATGAGGACCTGGGTAGGATGCATTTGGGGCTAAGTTCAAATGTTGAATCTGCTTTTTCTAGGTGATGCCAGTGGCCGAGGCCAACTGGGTCCTGGGGAGGGTACAGGCTCAATTACAGGATGGTCCACTGAGGGGTTCAACATATGAGAGGGGAGAAGGCTGGATTGTGACTCCAGTGCATAAATGGCCTGGGGCTCTCCTGGAGCAGGGTTAGGAGGTTTGGGGTACTCCTGTGGTTACTAACCAGGTACATTAAGTTAAGGTCCTGGGAGACTCTGCCTGTTTTCTTCCTCTGGCTGCCTCCTCATGAGTGCTGGGACCCTTGAGTGGTGGCTTCCATGGAGCCTTCAGCTGGCCGACCGACCGAGTCTGTCCCCCAATATTATTTCAGCTCTAAATTGTGCCTCTGTTTTTCTGACAGTGCTTTTGGGGGTCACTTTGGAGTAGACATCCAGGAAAGGTCCTTGGCCCTATCAACAAATACAGGCCACTTAGCAGGTTTTTTGTTTTTGTTTGTTTGTTTGTTTTTAGTTCCTTCTCCACAACCCAAGGAAAAAGAAAGAAGTACTCTACCCCAACTTTGAGACTAGAGTCACCCTGATGGAATTAGGGGCCATTAGATCACCCTCTTTCTGAAGTCTCCACCATGTCCCCAGCTGTCAAAGCAATTTGGTTAAGCCGGGAGGACGACAGCGCTGGCCCAGGGGCTGTGCCAGTCAATCCGGGGGCCCCAGTGCGTCTCTCGGTCGCCACACCGCCAGGGTCAGCCAGCGTCACTATAAGCCTGGGAGGTGGCCGTGTGTGTGTGTGTGTGTGTGTGTGTGTGTGTGTGTGTGTGTGTGTGTGTGTGTGATTAGAGATAGCCGTCCCCAGGCAGGAACGGAGGGGTTGCATCTCAAGGGCCTTGTTCAAGGGTTGGGCCCGGGATTCTGCAAGCCAGGGTCAGCAATGAAAATAATCAGAGACACCAAAAGGAATCCCACCCCTGGGACTTTTTTTTTTTCCCCCTGTGGGAAAAGCAGGCCAGGTTCAGGGAATGGGTAAAGGTGGCCTGTTGCATTAGGGAAGTTTGGGTGATCTATTAAACAGTCACCCTCCCTCCCCCTCAGCATCAAAATATGGGCGTCATCTGGATGGCAAACCTGGTTTTATTACTATGAATGCTTATGCAGCTGTCCTGACTCCAGCCAGAATGTGCAACCAGGGATCCTTCTCCATCTCCATCTCCTAATAATAGTAGTATGGTTGTAGCAATAACCACCACATCAGGAGGAGACTGCCCCACTCGGAGTAGCCTAGGAATGGAGAAGAACACAACCCCCTTCCCATCAGAGGTAGAGGTCTGTCTTTGAGTCCCAAATGTAAAAGAAAGGAAGCCTCCAGGGTCAATCAGTCGCTGCTTCAGTGGGGTTGACTGCGGGTGTGTGGGGGGGGCACTTACTTTCCCCATCTCACTGTTTAGGAAGCCAGACTCAGCTCTCACCTATAAACAGAGTCTCTCTCTCTCTCTCTCTCTCTCTCTCTCTCTCTCTCTCTCTCTCTCTCTCTCTCTCTCTCTCTCTCTCGTTGACTCCTCCTTTTCATGTTTCAAAACAAAGGACCTAGGTTTGAGGTTGATCTGGCTGGAGTTTCATCAGCCCTTGGCCTTCCTCAGGAGTTCGAGGAGGAGCCGGTGTGTGCCATGACTTTGTATGTATGTACATACGTTGTTCTTCCTGTCCCTCGAGGCCCCATTGATGTCCGGCAGGCCGGGCTTTCCCAACCCCCACCGGTTCCCGCCTCCGGACTTGCCAGGCTCCCGTTGGGGGCGGGAAGTGCCCTTATACACAGAGTTAATTTATTAAGCAAACTTTATTAAGAATTCTGATTTACTGCCTTGTGTGCTTTGGGTAGGTTCCTGGAATATTACCTTGACTTTCTTATGTGGAAATTGTCATTTTTGAAATGTTTCTTTTAAATGAAATCACTGGCCCCTTTTCAAAACAGAAGAGGAAAAAAAAAGACTATTTTTTTTTTCTTTCTGAGAGCCTATATAATAAAGCTAATTGGCAGTGAAGAGGGGGGAGGAGTAAGCATCTAGCTGGAGACAAAGGGAGTTTTGATTTTTTTTTTTCTTCTGACAATCTCATTTTCTCTGTTATTTTTTAGATTATCCTGAACTCCATGCACAAATACCAGCCCCGATTACACATCGTGAAAGCAGACGAAAATAATGGATTTGGTTCAAAGAATACTGCGTTCTGCACCCACGTCTTTCCGGAGACCGCGTTTATCGCGGTGACTTCGTACCAGAATCACAAGGTAAGCCCAAGTCTCTGGGAGCTGGGAGCCAGCAGGGAGGGCGGGCGGGGGGTGGGGGGGGGGGCGCTGGACGCATGCGCTAGGTCTTCACCGGAATGCAGTCCTTTAAAGACTGAGGGTGGGTCCACAGTCCGGCAGCCTCAGCTTCTACTCTCCTCCAGGGACCTGGGCAGGGGTCGAGTTGAAGCTGTTCGCATTATATTCATGGTGGGGGAGGATCTCTCTCTCTCACCCACCCTTTCCTCGTTAGAACCAAACTTGTCATGCGCTTAATTGGTGCGAGCCTGCAGAAAGGGTGGGAATAAAGGTGCATGGCTAATGCTACCCTTGGAGCGAATTGCCTTTTCCTTTGAGAGACCAGTGTCCCGGTTTTTAGAGGCCCCTCAAGTGGCAATGGGGCAGGTGGCGTAGCCAAGTCTAACGTACGTGTGTGTGTGTGTGTGTGTGTGTGTGTGTGTGTGTGTGTGTGTGTGTGTGTGTCGCTCCATGTGAGCTCAGTGAAAGCCGACTCCCTTTCATGGAGCCTCCCCCACCCCCACCCCCAATCTGGGTGAAGTTAGCTATAGGTTGTGAGGCTGGCAGGGCAGGCCGTAGAAGGATCATAGGCAAGTTTAGTTCCAGGTCATCCAGTGGAGGTCATTCTGGTGCTGGCTGGGGTGGTAGATAATGCCTCAACCAATCAATCCTGTTACAACCCACTGAGGGTAGTCTCTGAATCCAGACTGTAAGTGGCCCAGCCCTGTGATGGATGATCCCTTCCAGATCTAGGGAGAGCTTCCTTCCCTTGCCCCAGAAGAAACCCCTGCCCCCTCCCCAACACAATTACTTCTTGAAAGGAAAAGAACAGAGCTGACCCCACCAAGGGCAAAATGGTGAGGTCAGCTGCCCTGACTTAGCGAAACTTAAGTCTACCCTGAGTCGCACTTCCAGAGATGGGCTCCCTCCCTCGGTGACTCTGCAAAACCCAATCCTTCTGTGACCATAAAGGTTCCCGGACCGCCCACAAGGGCCACAAATACCTCAGCCACCTCCCACTCAGGCAAGCCTAGGTTCCTAGAGGAAGGGTAGGGTGTGTGTGTGTGTGTGTGTGTGTGTGTGTGTGTGTGTGTGTGTGTGTGTACATATAAAATGACCTTTAAAAAAGTGGGTCCCTGGATCCATGGCATGGTCTGAGTTCCGTCATGATGATGTTATGACATCTGTACTGTGTGTGATCTGTGAACATTCATGTCCCTTTCTTTGCCTCCCATCACTGTTTTTAACTTCATACAGTATGCACTTTTTGATGTTCGTTTTTTGAGCATGCTGGTGTTTGAACTCACAGCTTCAAGCATTGCTAAGCATACATCCTGCCACCGAGTTGCATTTTTGGCCTCTTGAAGATTGCTATGTCACGTGTGACATGTGGATATATACCCCCAACACTGTCATATTTGTGTGTGTGTGTGTGTGTGTGTGTGTGTGTGTGTGTGTGTGTGTGTGTGTGTGTCTCGGGGTGGGGGGCGGTGGTTATACATGTGCTATGGTTTGTTTGTCTAGGTCAGAGGACAACTTGTGAGTTTGTTCTTTTTTTTTCTGAGTCCCGGGATTTGAACTCAGGTCTTGATGCTTGGAGGCAAGCACCCTTACCTGCTGAGCCAATTTTGCTGGCTCATGTATGAGTTTTGAGCACAGTCTAAAGATCTGCCAGTGTGGGTCTCCAGCCACGCTTTTGGGTGTGTGTTTGATGACCGCACAGAAACTCCCCCACCCCGGAATTGCTTCCTGTATTAGTTGGGTGTGGGACTCCAGTTGAACCGCACATGGAGGCCTTTTTAGCCAGGTGGAGAGGTTTTGGACACACCGAAGAGGGGGTTTCACAGGAGACAAGTTTCTACCCGCCTCCCCCCCATCTTCCACAGGATCTTCCCTACTTCTTACCTGTGGAGTCCCAAAGTCGTTCATTTTCTTTGTGAAGAGCCCAAAAGTGATACACTTCCCAGTCAAGTTCAAGACCCTAGAAAACATTCCTCGGGTGGATATACGATGTGTGACTGAAATAACTGGGCCATGGTTTCTTATGATTTGTGGACAGCGTCTCCAGCTTTATTGTCCCAGCTGGAACGGGTGTTGAGAAGGCTGAGGGCATGGGTAAACCAGCTGAGATGTTAACACCGCATGGATTAAGGGGTGGACCCGGGGAAGGGGGAGGGGCAGAGTGCTCAGACCCAAAGGCAGAATCTGACTCAGTGTCCCATCTATAAAATGGGAATCACAACAGCATCCACTTCATGAGATCCTTGGGAGGATTACATAAGAAAATCACAAAATAATCCCTGGGGATGGCATAAGCGTCATGATGAGGTAATGGTGTGGTTCTAGCCACTGGTGAGTTGGTTTGCCGGTCAGCTCTGTTCAAAATTTTCAATTTTTTTTTTTTGGCGGGGGGGGGGGGGGGGGGGGGGGGGGGGGGAGGAACTCTTTGCCTGCTCACTGTCACTCCTTGGTTATATTAAAATCTGAATGACTGTCATTTTAAAATTAGGTCTGTTATTGTGGTTGAAAAAAATAACTCCAAATGCTGGTCCTTGTGATCATTGTCAATCCAGAACTTACTTGTTTTGTTTTGGATGACAGAATTTGGGAGGGGATATTCTGGGTGAGTGGACAGCCAGGAATACCTGAGGAATGCAAGCCGCTGTTTGGGGAGGGGTTCAAAGATCTCAGTGTCCCTGGGATGCTTTCTTCAGGCCAGCCAGGTGCCAGGTAAGGAGGAGTATGTGGCAGGGCTCCTTTCTTAGGCAGTAAGGCACCTACCCACCCTTTCAGCACAGGACTCTCAATGGCGAGCTGTATTTCCTCAGCCCAGCTGTGATCCTACGCTGGATTTGGGAGTTATTTCCCCAGATGTTTGACAGCCTGAAAAAGGAAAAAAAAAAAAAAGATATTTAAAAACTCGACTCTTCCCCAGCCACGACGTTCACTCCGGGGGAAACACATTTTTGTTTGGGTTCTCTCCGCAGTTGTCAGCAGCCCCCAGCACACTGCCTAGAAATATGTAGGTGTTAAACACAAGTCACTGGGGCATTTCATTTCCCGGCTCTTACTACAATGGCTGTGTATGCAAGCATGCATATCCCCAACATTAACTGACTTTTCCATTCCAAGGCACTTTCTTCCAGCTTAAGTCCTTGTGTATGGAGTCCATATTTATGAGGTACGAGCTTTCTGGTCTGGACCAGGAAATGAAGCCTCTAATAGAGAGACATAATTAAGATTTTTTTTGGCTCTTGTGAGCTGGTTTTTTTTTCCCCAAAAGCAAGAATTTGCAACAATTATTTTCATTAATTTTTACAACTGCTGTCTCACCAGTTGGAGCGGGCATTTATATTTGCCCCCCCCCCCACTCTCTCCTTCCCCGGATATCCGGTTTTAGGCTGATTTTGGAAGGGAGTGCTTTTGTATGGTCAATAGAAGTAGGTTTCCCTGGAGCATTTGGGTAGGTGCAGGGCTTCCAGGTGTGCGGATTTGGGGGCTCATAAGCTGACGTGCAGCCTACAGTTTATAGACTGGTTTATAGTGTAGGAGGCCGTGTGCAAAATTTAAATGTGTTTCACCACAGAGTCTGTCTAGAAGGATTTCTCGAGGATGATTCTGTGTGTGTGCACATGTGTGTGTGTGTGTGTGTGTGTGTGTGTGTGTGTGTGTGTGTGCCTGTGTGTGTTGTATATGCCTGTAGTGTGTGGGTGTGTACACGTATGTGTGGTGTGTGTGTGTACACACACACCACACATATGTACATACGTGGATGTTAGTCTGTGGCGTGTGTGTGTGTGTGTGTGTGTGTGTGTGTGTGTGTGTGTGCACTATGCACACAAGTGGAGATGACAACTTGAGGGGGTCAGTTCTCTCCTTCCCTCCCATTGGTCCTAGGGCTAGAGCTCAGGTTACCAGGCTGGGTGACAAGCACCTTTACCAGCTAAACCACCTCACTGGCCCCGCCTTCTCTCTGAGACAGGGTCTCTCACTGAGTCCAAAGCTTAGCAATTGGCTAGACTGGCTAGCCAGTGAGTTCCTGGGGATCCCGCCATCTCTGCACCCCTAGATCCTGTGCTAGAGGCCATCTACCCCTGACCCATCCATCACCCCAATCCTCCCTAGCAATGCATATATCCTGGAGGTGTCTATGCAGTCCCTACAAGAAGGGCAGCTGGGGTGTGGAGCAGCACTGAGCAATGGATCAGTGTGTGCAAGGCCCTGGGTTCTGTTCCCAGCACCGCCTTAAAGGACATATTCAAAATCAATGCGTTTAAGTGTATCTATAACTATTTTTTATCCTATGCAATGGGTTTTGTTTTTGTTTGTTTGTTTGTTTGTTTTTGAGACAGGGTTTCTCTGTGTAGCTTTGGATCCTGTCCTGGAACTCACTCTGTAGCCCAGGCTGGCCTCGAACTCACAGAGATCCGCCTGGCTCTGCCTCCTGAGTGCTGGGATTAAAGGCGTGCACCACCAACACCTGGCCTTGTTTTGTTTTTAAACAGAGTCTCAGTAGGGGCCTTGAACTCATGACCCTCCTGCTTCAGTCTTGTACATGGTGGAATTACAGGTGTGAACCACCATGCCTGGCTGCTGTCATAGATTTGTACAAATTAAGGAATAGTGAAATTGTGAGTGACCTGAAGTGACATAGAATCAATGTGAGCAAAAAAGTATTGTGTGTGTGTGTTAACTGTTTTTGACTTTTTGAAAAATGATTGTTTGAATATTATGTCTGTATGTATATGTCTGTGCATATGTGTGTGCCTGGTGCCCACAGGGGGGGGGGGGCGGAATAAGGCATCAGATCCCAGGGAACTGGAGTTACAGGCACTTGTGAGCCACCATATGGGTGCTGGGAATCAAACCTGGGTCTTCTGGAAGATCAGCCAGTGCTCTTAACTACTGAGCCATTTCTCCAGCCCAGCAAAAAGCTTTTATTATTAATTTTTTTAAGACAAAAATAAAGCCCATGTTCTTCATTTTTTTTTCCTTTGGCCAATTTTTGGGTCCTGAGTTCTTAGTGGGACAGTGGAGTTCTGGGCTCTGATGTAGCCCTGGGTTCACAGCCTTATAAGTCCTCAGTGTTACAGGGACTGGCAGGGCTCAGCTTTAGGGACTGGGGTGGGGGGAGGGGTGGGAACGACTTGACTGAGAATTATTCCATCCTGTTAAAATGTCCTAGTTATTGTTATTTTGTTTGTTTATAATAGAGTCTCATGTAGCCCAAGCTGGCTTTGAACTCAGTGTATATAGTCAATGACCTGGAACTTTTAATCCTCCTGCCTCCACTGCCTGAGTGATGCAATTACAGGTGTGTGCCATGTGTTTTATTTATGCTTCTGCATTTGGACCCAGGACTTTCTATATGTTAGGCATATGTTAACTAAACTGCATATATAACTAGACTGCATACCAGTCCAAATTATTTATTACTATTATCATTATCATCATCATCGTCATTATTATTATTATTATTATTATTACAGGGTCTTGCTCTGTAGCCCAGAGTAGCCTCAAACTCTTGATCTTCCTTCCTCAGCCTTCAAAATGCTGAGATTATAGGTATGTGCCAGCATACATGAATTTATGTGATCAAGTTTTCAGTTAGTCTTTGCAAATTCATTTTAAAAAGTTTGTCCTTCGTTGGATTGTGCTTTTTGACAAAGTCTTAGAAGGACAGGCAGACCTCTGAATTCAAAAGCACACATTTCAAAGACAATTTTCTGAAATGATTTTTAGACTCTCGCTCACACTGAAGAGTCAAGACAAAATCAGAAAGCGACAGGTACGATATGCAGGCCTGTGATGGCAGCACCCAGGAGGCTGAGGCAGGAGGATCAAGAATTAGAGGCTAGAATCCAGGAGAATCCAGGCATGCCAGAGTTACTTGGTAGTCAATAAGAAGATGACAAACTCTCTTTTGACATCCACAGGAAGTTCTGAAACCAAAGCCTGCCTTCTGGTTTTAAGGAGAAAATCGATGCCATTAGAGAAGGTTCTAGAATGAACCAGTCCTGAACTAAAACTCTCTCACGGAGAACTAGAAAGTTCATGGATGGGATCGAGTCTCTCTCTGTGTCCATCTAATTCAAACACTGAGAACTGTCTCAGCCACTCAGCAGTGCACACACTTCAGAAAATGAACCTTGCCTCCCCAAGCATAATGAGCCGAGTAGAATCCCTGGGACCCACAGGGGTGGAAGGCGAACACTGACTCCCACAAATTGTCCTTTGTCCTCCACAGCAATGCATCACCACCACCCCCACACTTAAATAATTTCATGATAAATTTAATAACTTCTCTTAGGGCCAGTGAGATGACTTAGCTTGCAATGCACCCGCTGAGCAAGCTTGGGGACCTGAGTTCAATTCCTAGAAGGTGTGTAAAGACAGAAAGAGAGAACCACTTCCATGAGACCCTCCTCTGACTCAGTATGTGCTGTGGCATACACACAGTTACATATACACACACATTAATAATAATAATAATAATAAATAGGGGCTGAGAAGATGGCCCAGTTGGTAAGAGCACACATACCTCTCTTTCAGAGGACTTGAGTTTGGTTCCCAGCACCTGCATCAGGTGGTTCACAACTACCTGTAACTTTAGCTCCAGGGGATCCAGTGCCCTCTTCTGGCCTCTGCAGGAACCTGCACCCATGTGCACAAGCACACAACACACACAGAGACACATAATTTAAAATAAGGTAAATCTTTTTTAAAAATAATGGTTGATTTTTAAATATTTCGTAAATACACACGTTCCCTCCCTCGATTTTGGTTTTGTTATGTTTTGTTTGTTTGTTTTGGTGTGTGTGTGTGTGTGTGTGTGTGTGTGTGTGTGTGTGTGTGTGTGTGTTTATGGTTTTTCAAGACAGGGTTTCTCTGTGAAACATCCTCAGCTGTCTCGGAACTTGATTTGTAGACCAGGTTGGCCTAGAACTCACAGAGATCTGCCTGCCTCTGCCTCCCGAGTGCTGGGGTTAAAGGTGTGCACCACCACCGCCCAGCCCGCCCCCATTTTTTATTAACTAGATCCATTTCTGCAGCTTCTTTGCTCCCCACTCAACCCCCAATCAATCCCATCCGTGAACTTTCCAGTTCTCCGTGAGAGAGTTTTAGTTCAGGACTGGTTCGTTCTAGAACCTTCTCTACTGGCATCGATTTTCTCCTTAAAACCAGAAGGCAGGCTTTGGTTTCAGAACTTCCTGTGGATGTCAAAAGAGAGTTTGTTATCTTTTTATTAACACCAGGTAACTCTGGCACACCTGGATTCTCCTTTGTCATGCGGAGTCGTGAGGACAATATTTCTGAGTAAAATAATTTTGAATAGAAAGGGAGTTGATTTAAACAAAAACCGTAGCTAGGTGTGGGGGCTCATACTTGTAATCCTATAATCCTAGCACTTAGAATTACCTTAGGCTAGAGGCCAGCCTGGGCTACATAGTGAGGCCCTGTTTCAGAAAAACAAAAGTAAATCAAATTTTAAAAAATCTTAAATGGGAGCTGGCTTGGCAGACAAAGTACCTTGCGGCACACACCTGAGGTCTGGAGTTCGCATCACTAGCAACCACACAAATGCTGAGATGTCATGGCTAGGGTGCCTATAATCACATTACTCTGGAGGTGGAGATGGGAGGAGCCTTGGGGCAGCTGGATAACTAGGCTAGTTGAATCTGCAAGTTCTGGGCTCATGGGAAGAGTCCCTGCCACACCAGATAAGGTGGAGAAAGACCCAGGAAGAAGCCTAGTGTCAACTTTGGGCCCTCACATGCATGCTCCTAAACATTTGAACATGCATGCATGCACACAGGCATGTAAAGAAAACAAAACAGACCACAATTTAAGGGAAGCAGTATATGGACACTCTTAGATGTGGCTGTGACCCCAAAGGGGAACCCTGAGCTGCCGATGGTAGTCATAATGCCCTGGTGTCTGTCACGTGATTCTGTGTGACAGTTAAACTCACACACAACTTTTAGGAAACACTTGTAGCAAATTCCATATGGAGGAGGTCTGCCACCTGGATCCACTAGTCCATTGACGCTAATATAATATGTGTTGATGGCTTACATTAAAGTGCTGGGCCTTGAACCAAAACATGAAAAAACACACAGTTCTGCTTCAGGGTTGTGACACAGATTTTAAAGACAGAGTTTCCACTTCCCTGCCTAGAAAAACCACAGAGGGTCGGAGCCGCGGGACGGCTACCATCTGCGGGAGGCTCAGATGTTGGTGTTTATCGTACTGGGCAGTGTTTGACACCTGGGCTAGTCAGTGCTGTCTGCAAAATGGTGAAATGGGGCATGACCGGACCTTTGAAAGCAATGATCAAGATGTGTTTTCTGCGATCGGGAGATTACCACATTGTGCGGGATATGCAGTCACCACGTCAACACTCACGGCTTCCTAAGGAAGAAGAGCCAAATGTTGAGGCTTCCTTTTCCTTTGAAGTGCAAAATGCTCAACACACACATGTGCATGTATGTGCGCACTCACACACACACACACACACACACACACACACGATGCAGAATATGACTCCAATTAATGAGTAAAACCAAAGGCAGGTTTTCCCCTTCCTTCTCACAACCGTCTGACCTAGGACATTTTTCAAAGCCTCCACTCCGATGGGGAGTCCCGTCACTGTGACAGGCTGTATTGTGTCCGGAGCCTCTTTTCCACAACGTTTGTTGTGCGCACTTGTCCCCAGGTCCTCCTGTGTGGTAATCAAATATGAACCAACTTGTTCCCCCTCCTCCTCCTCCTTCTCCTCGCAGATTACACAGCTGAAAATTGAGAACAACCCCTTCGCCAAAGGCTTCCGGGGCAGCGATGACATGGAACTGCACAGGATGTCTCGGATGCAAAGGTAAGAAATCGGGTCAACAACCCCCGCCCCCCAGCGTTGATGCCATCCAACCGAGAAAGAGATCTCATTCCCTTCTCTCTGTCCCTGTCTGTCTGTCTGTCTGTCTCTCCCTCTGTAAGTTAAAGGTCAACACAGGTACCTTCCTCAATCCCTCCTCTACCTTATTTTTTTTTTTTTTTTTTTGAGAGAGTCTCTCACTGAACCTGGGCTCCCTGATTCAGCCAAGCTGGCTGGCTGTGGAGCTCCAGGGATCCTTCTGTGTCCACCTCCCCACAACTGGGATTACAGACCAGCCTCACTGCGCCTGGATTTTGCCATGGGTTCTGGGGATCTGAACTCAGGTCCTCACACTGGTGAGGCAGGCACATGATGGAATGAGCCATCTCCCCGCCCCCCCCCCCCCCGCCCCCTTTTCTGATAACCTTTATGATCTGGATGGATGCTTTCAGGCAGCCTGCAGTGTGAACGTCTGGGTGGGAGACTAGAATCCAGCTGGCCAGGGACCCAATACTGTATGCCTCCTCTTCCTTGTGTCCCTCCCCTCCATGAAACCCTTCCCCTTCTCCCCTCATCCATCTCAGCTGATGAAGGCTGTTCTTTCGGCAACAGCTTTCCATAAACGAGAGAGAAGTGAACAACTCCGTTTCCTGGGGGGTGGGGGTGGGGGTGGGGTGAAACACAGACCAACTTGACACCAGGTGGTGTCCAGGGCACCTCAGGGGGTGGGGGGTGGGGGTGGGGGTGCGAGTTGGCAGCCAGTGCTAGAAATCAATTGCTAGTTTTACATATCCTGTGGTCGCAGTCGCTGATATGACAAATAGAAAGGGTGGGAACAAACGGAGAGAGGGAATCGGGTCTGACTGAAGTGATTGAACTAGCAAGGCAGTTTGTCGATTATTCTCTCAACTTCCAGCTCGACCTGCTGCAGGGCAAGAGAATTAGAAATCATATCTCAATCCCCTTGATCACAAGCACACAGATACACATGCATGCATACACAAACACACACACACACACACACACACACACACACACAGATATACACATACTCTCTTTCTCTCTGTCTCTCTTTCCCTCTGAGTGTGTTTAGTGATTCAGAATAAAATGAAATCATGGATGACATTCTGGAAGAGAAGGAGAGGGAAAGTCAGTTAGATTCGAGACATGGTCATTCAAAGAAGGGTGAAGGACCAAACACAGAGAGAGGGGTGGAGACCCCATGGTCTTGGAGTCTAAACATTGCGCTAAGAACCGCGTGCTGTGAAATTAATTTAATTAAAAATGTTATTTTATTTGTATGGATATTTTCCCTGCATATATGTCCATGTACTATGTACATTCAGCGCCTATGGAGGTCAGAAGAGGGTGTCAGATCCCTTGGAACTGGAGTTACAGATGGTTGTAAGCTGCCATGTGGGTGCTGACAATCAAATCCAGGTCTTCTGGAAGAGCAGCAGGTGTTCTTAACTGCTGAGCCATCTCTCCAGCCCCAGGAATATTTAAATTCAATATTCTCAAAATGCAGTTTTAAATCGGCACTTGCTGTAGTCCTAGGGTCAGAGGAGCCTGTGCCAACAAAAATCCCATCTAAGCAGAGATGGATACAGCTACCTGAGGCCCCCAGACAGCCAAGTTCAGAGTCACATCCCACGCTGGTGGTGACTTTGCTACAGAGGTAGCAATGGCCACCCTGAAGCCCTGTCTGAGAGCTACAGGTGAAGGTCCAACCTGGACCACCTTGTAGAAACCCAGGCCTCCAAAGGGTCTTAGCATCGCCCACCTCTCCCATCCTTCCTGCAAGGGATGGTGAATTGAAGAGGTCAGGGGGCAACCTCCTTCTCCAGCCTCACCGGTCCTGAGGAGTGTATCTCTTTCTGTGCTGAGGACCGAATTCAGGCTCGTACACACGATAAGCCCATGCTCTACTGCTGAGGTCCTCTCCCGGCCCGATTCCTCTTGGTGCATCTTAGCATTCAGCACCCGCCTTCCTGCCAGACTGAACTCCAACCATCACCCTCCTTGAGGGCCGCAGCCTCTTGACTTACACTGACGGCGGCCCCTTTCTCCTCTGGAGTCTTCTCCAGGCAGTCCCACAGAGAGCCTTGGAAAACAACCGGACAGGATCACTGCACACGGGAGAACCGTTCAGGTTCCTGTCACTGTGGAAGGAGGTCCAGCAGACCTCTTACCACCGACCGACCACACCCTTCCCATCAGGCCCTGCTACCCCCCCCCCCCCCCCCCACTGGCTCTGTTCGCTTGGCTCATGGTAAAGCAGGCACTCTGGAGCTGTCTGATTTTCCTTGTTTGTAGCCCTGGGACCCGTGTTCGGTTTGTCCCTGATCTTTTCTCTCCTTCCCTGACAGAGCTCTTCTTTCCTTTGCTAGTTTTCCCTTGCTGGGGGACCTGGCTGTTTGGAAGCTCATAGGAACAGAAGTCACACACGAAAAGAGAGGCAGGTGGAGAAAGGGCAGGTGTCTGAGTGCTAGGACGCGGGGATGGTCTAACCTGCCCTCCCCACCACCCCTACTTCGGGTTGAGTGTGTCTCTGTCTTCTGTTCAGGCGTCAGATGGGAAAGAGGAAAAGGGACGGGAGCGGTGGGGGGGGGGGGGGGGGGGGGGGGGGGGCGGGGCGGGGAGGGGGAGGAAGGAAGGGGGGAGGGGACTAGTCATGGCCGCTTGTCATGTGGGAGCCCATCTCTCAATCTCTCAGCCTAAGAACCATAGGTCTTTGTGGTCATCTGAGGAGTCGTGTTGGGGAAACTGAGAGAAGGCTAGACCTTCTGGGGGTTTAGACAGGGTGTGTGATCATCCAGCTCTTTGCAGGTGGCCTTAGGGGCAGTGACAGAGGGAAAAAAGTGGCCGAAGTAACAGAGTTCCCAGGTCAATCCAAGCTGGGGTTACCCCTTGCTCTGTGTCTGTCGCTGTGCGACTCTGGGAAAGTGAATTAACCTTCCAGAGACTCAATATTCTCACTTGTGAAATGGGCACAAATAAGTGTAGCCTACACATTTTAGGGGTCTTGTAGGAATTACTTGGCCGGGAGGTGATAGCGCATGACTTTAATCCCAGCACTTGGGAGGCAGAGGCAGGTGGATCTCTGTGAGTCTGAGGCCCACCTGGTCTACAAACCCAGTTCCAGGACAGCCAGAGATGTTACACAGAGAAATCCTATCTCAAAAAACCAAACCAACCAACCAAACAAAAATTATTTGAGAAATGCCCCCAGGGAACCTGGATCCTAGTCCATTCTCAGGACACTTTCCCTGATTTGGGGGAAATCTCCCTGGGACTCTCAGTTCTAACTTCGCTCCGAGTTTATTTTGGGCTGTTGTCCCAGCCCCCAGGTCGCAGTAGGTAGTGACAAGCGAGGCCCGTGGCTCTTGGAGTCGGCTGTGATAAAGGCCGGCTCACGGTTAATCTTGTAATTCTGTTTCCTGTCCTCCACACACTCGGTGACAGCTGACTCAAGGAGGAGGAGGAGGAGGGATGAGAGAGAGGCAGGGCTTCCTCTGGAGGCCTGCGCAGCTCTTCCACTGAGCTAGCTGGGTTCTGGACCAGTTTGGCCAAGACCCGGACACGAACCCTACTCCGACACTCTCTTTCTTCTGATGCTGTGTTTGGACAAACACAGCAGTGACTTAGTTATTCTCCAGTATTCATTTATGGTGTCCAGTTACAGGAGCCATCACTGCTTCTAATAAACACAGGAGAAAAAAAATAATAAAACCACATAAATGGCCCATTTCCAGCTTCCTGTGAGAGTGCGCACGCACCCTGGTTGTTTAGAAAGGTAGGGACTGCCACAAAAAAGAAAAACAGCTTCTCACAGTCAGTGTTTCTCAAAGTCCCAAGAGGTGAGTGACGGGGGGAGCTGACTTTAGAGGGTGCACGGACTCACCTGCGTGTCGGTGCTGAAGTCTCAGAGATGTTACTGTGTAGAGAATGAGACTAAGTGGACAGGAGGGGAGGAAGGGAAGGGGAAGGAGGGATGGGGAGAGGAGGAAAGAAAGGAAGAGAGAGAGGGAGGGAGGAAGGAAGGAAGGAAGGAAGGAAGGAAGGAAGGAAGGAAGGAGGAAGGAAGGAAGGAAGGAAACAAACAAGCAGGCAGGCAAGCAGGAAGGCCGACTCCCAGATGAATGAAGGCAATGATTGGCGCTTGAAGTGGGGTTGACATCCAGAATAGATGCTGCTGCCGAGATAACTCGAAGACAGCAGCAGACCTCATGCCCCTGCGCATGCATGCCAACTCAGCCCCAAGGCAGGACTGGGACTCCACTGTGGCCAGAGACAACCCCACACCCTGCTCCTCACTGACATTCCTGCCTTGAACTTGACTTCCGTGTCTACGGAGTATTTAGACAGCTTGAAAACACCTGGGTATTGAAGGGTGGGGAGCTGGGGCTCGGGTCAAGGGAGGCTTTGGGGAGGGGTCATGGTCACTTTTGGAAGGATAGGGGCTCAATGTGTTGAGAAGGACGGTTTTCTGGGCTGGGACAGGGAAGCAGTGGCAGGGACTTGAAGAGTAGGGTATAGATTCCAAGGGTCTCGGAGGGACCTGGAGAGAAGCAGGGGCAGGGTGGTACCGTGAGAACCGCTTGTATGAGGGACAAGGGGCATACTGAGGTTTAAAACTGCCTGGCGTGCACGGAAAGACACAGCCACAGTGATGTCCCATGTTGGCTGTGCTGGGTGGTGGTGCATATCTTGTTGAGGTCACATGGCAGGTGGGTCACAGGTGACTGAGAGGCAGAGCCATTATTATGAGCAAGGATGCCCTGGAGGTGGAATGGAGCCCCTTCTACAGAGTGTGGAGGTAGAGAGGAACCCCCTTCTACAGAGTGAGGGGTAGAGGAACCCCCTTCTCCAGAGTGAGGGATGGGTTTGAATTTGAGGCAGCTGCAGAGGCCCCTGGGTGCTCCTTGCTTTTCTTCTACAGAATGGCGGCCACGAGCTCTGGTGGCCTTTCCGCTGTAGGCTGTCCAGATTGAATGTCCCTC